CAACTTTTACATACAATAATTATTGTTATTTATGCAGAAACTGTTTAGTTTTTGGACAGTAAAAATATGAAGTGGTATTGTATAAAATTGTGTTTTATATTTGTTTTGTTTGTAACTTGACTAAAATGAAAGCTGCATGTACAATGTACATTATAAAGATTATGTAGGAATATAAAGAATGTAGGAAGATCTTCATCATTTCTTAAATACAATATGTTAGAAATTTTAAGTTTGAGAAAAAAATTATAGAAATTAATCAGTAAGTACAATATCATTATGTACAATATTACATCAATCAAACTATAGATAACCTGAGGTACCTATTACTACAACTTTCATGCTATAAACAATTTTCCTTGTGTGTCACATGTGGAGCAGATTAACAGTAACTGATTTATTAGTAAGTTTCATTCCTTCATTGTTGTAATTCAGCTTTCATGGTGCAGTAGATAATTATATAACCATAACTAGACAGTCTAGAGTAACATGCTATTAGGAGAATGACAGTTCATAACAGAAACAGCATTAAATAAGAATTATTATTTTGCAGACACAAAGCAATGAGGAGCAGCCTGGAGCAACACATTTGATCTTCAGTGGCTTTACAAAGGTATCTTGTTAATTCAAAGTTATTTTAGAATTAATAGGAAAGAAGTGTCACAGTACCCAATAAGACACTTTTCAGTTCTTGATAAATATAGCTATTAGTCACTATTTACAAACCTACTTTAATTCAAACTCTTTATGACACTTTAATTTGCATTTACATTTTGTTTTACAAATTTTAGAGTTTTTGTACATTTTAGCTTGAAAATTTTATCAAATATTTATCCTGATGAAGGTTCGTTAAGAACTGAAACTGGAAGATTATTAATTACTCAACCTGCACTGGTGTTGATGTGTTGTATTTCTTTATTTCTTTCTTATTTTAAAATTTTAGAGTTGTATACATATACCAAGGTCTTATAAAAGTGTTTCATTTTCTGTCTTTACATATTAGATATTGATAATCATTTTCTGTCTTTACTTATTTGATATTGTTAATCATAATTTAGGACCAGGTGATGGCAGAACTGAAGCCATATGCCTCAAAAGAGAAAGGTACAGCAAAGCTCTTCAGAATGATATTCAATATAGAAGAGATTAAAGGCCGCTCATTGTTTGGTATGAGGAAAGGGAACAGAGAGTCTGACGCCAGAACTTCTTGTGCAGACAAGGCAAAACTTAAGTTGTTGGAAGGTAACTAATGAACTGAATGAAAATATCATTTTTGATTCTGCGTATATTTTCTGCCTTGGAGTAAATAAGAAAAGTCTGATTCTTCCCCGTCTGCAGTGCTGTTTTTTCTAAAGTGTTTTAATCATATCTATGTACTCAAATTGAATATAGAAATATCCAATAGTCATATAAAATTGTCAGCTTATTTTTTTTTTATTATTGTTTTAATCATTCATATTTTTTTTTGTTTTAGATTGTGCGCTCGAAAAGTTGCCGACAACCTAAAGGACTGAACTCAAACCGTCCAGGAATAGCAAGATAAACTGAAGAAAATAAATGGACTAATTTTTTGCTATTTTTTGAGACAATATATAATTTCATATGGGAACATTAAAAAGGATTATTTTTAAAATTTGTTTGTTTCCAATTTAGGGTACAGGGTGACTTTCAAGCAGTTTCCAGCTATTGCCACCCACAAGGTGGAAAATTTCTGAAAGGGTGAAAATAGGTGGCATTTAGTGGAAACTGAATTTGCCACTATCTGGTGGCAAAATGGTGGAAAAGTGTCTAAATACTCCACCAATTTTCCACCCTTATGGTGGCAAAAGGTGGAAATAAGTGGCATTTGGTGGAAAATAAGTTTGCCACTCAATGGTGGCATAATGGTGGAAATTTGTCTAAATACTCCACCAATTTTCCCCCATTATGGTGGCAATAAGTGGAAACAAGTGGCATCTAGTGGAAAATGAGTTTGCCACCCTAAGGTGGCATAATGGTGGCATTATGGTGAAAGTTTGTCTAAATACTCCACCAATTTTCCACTCATTGGTGGCATTTAGTGTAAAAAAGGTGGAATTAACTGGAAAATTATATAACATCAGTCCTGCTCAAATTTTTCACCATTTTCATGATTTGGGTGGCGTTTTGGTGGCGTTTTGGTGGCATTATTGGTGGAAAATTGTCTAAATACTCCACCATTGAAAAGGGTGGCATTTTAGTGGCAAATCTAGGGACGGGAATTGACCTAGAGTCATGAAACCTTACAGGAATGTTGATCAGCATGTGAAGTTGTGCATCTGGGTATTTTCATGTGCATATATTTAATTTTTTAAAGTTATTGCCCTTGACTTAGTAAAAATTTGCAATTTTCAACTTGTGTCGCACATAACTCAAAAAGTATTTGACCTAGAGTCATGAAACCTTACAAGAATGTTGCTCAGCATGTGTAGTTCACAGTGCACCTGGGTACTTTTGTGTGGATATTTTTAGTATTTTTAGAATGATTCCCTTGACTTAGTAAAAATTTACAATATTTAACTTGTGTTGCACATATCTATTTAATTTTGTTTCACTGTTTGATCTCAATGAAGATAATAATACATATTTAATTGTTTAATTCTTTTATTGTTTAATTCTTTTATTTGAAAATTTATCTTTTTAGATATTGTCATCATTTGCTTGACGCTTGACGCTATTTACAGGCCGGAATTTTTTCTTTGATCTATATTAGTCGTTATGATATTATAATGCTGCACTTATATATTAAATAATGAAAAAATAAACAAACCGCTATAAAATTAACCAATTAACAGACTTACCTGCAATTAACATGCTTTTTCATTTATAATATTTTATGCTCAAATAAAATAATTTATGTCATTTCCCGTAATTTATACACTTTTACATTTTTATCTTTGATGAAAATATATAATTACATGTTTGTAATACAACAAAAAATAAAAATACAAAAAATACATAATAAAAAAACAATTAATTTGAAAGGAAACACACTGTATGAAAAAAAAAATTATCTTATATCAACATATTTTTTATGTAGAAAGATCTAATAATGTTCAGAAGACCGGCACTGACCGGGGCAGTAAATATGATACTATTCGCCGGTCTCTCGTAAATTCCGGTCAAAATAGACCGGGTTGAGACTGGAGAATAGAACATCCCCACACAATGGCTGAGTCCCAGAGTATATCTAAATATATATAGGAATACCTTTTTATAGCAACAGTATTATTGCAAATTAATATGATGTATAAAATTAATGAAAAACAGATTTTGATTTCGATATTTTAACTTGATTCTTTACTTAAATTAAATTTTTACTCTCATTTTACTTATAGCAATATACCACTTATAACAATATAACGCTTATAACAATATACCACTTATAACAATATACCGCTTACACCAATATACCACTTATAACAATATACCGCTTACACCAATATACCACTTATAACAATATAACGCTTACACCAATATACCACTAAAAACAATACACCGCTTATAACGACATACCACTTATAACAATATACCGCTTATAACAACATACCACTTATAACAATATACCGCGTATAACAATATACCACTTATTACAATATACGGCTTATAATAATATACCACTTATAACAATTAATATACACCGCTTATAACAATATACTGCTTATTACAATATACCGCTTATAACAATATACCGCTTATAACAATATACCGCTTATAACAATATACTGCTTATAACAATATACCGCTTATAACAATATACGGCTTATAACAATATACCGCTTATAACAATATACCGCTTATAACAATATACCACTTATAACAATATACCACTTATAACAATATACCGCATACAACAATATACCGCTTATAACAATATACCGCTTATAACAATATACCACTTATAACAATATACCACTTATAACAAAAAAATACTTATAACAATATACAGCTTATAACAATATACAGCTTATAACAATATACCACTTATAACAATATACCGCTTATAACAATATACTGCTAATAACAATATACCGCTTATAACAATATACAGCTTATAACAATATACTGCTTATAACAATATACCGCTTATAACAATATACCACTTATAACAATAAACCACTTATAACAATATACAGCTTATAACAATACACCACTTATAACAATAAACACCGCTTATTACAATACCGCTTATAACAATATACAGCTTATAACAATATACCACTTATAACAATATACCGCTTATAACAATATACTGCTTATAACAATATACCACTTATAACAATATACTGCTTATAACAATATACCGCTTATAACAATATACAGCTTATAACAATATACTGCTAATAACAATATACCACTTATAACAATATACCACTTATAACAATAAACCACTTATAACAATATACAGCTTATAACAATACACCACTTATAACAATAAACACCGCTTATAACAATACCGCTTATAACAATATACAGCTTATAACAATATACCACTTATAACAATATTCCACTTATAACAATATACCACTTATAACAATATTCCACTTATAACAATATACTGCTTATAACAATATACCACTTATAACAATATACAGCTTATACCAATGGGAGGTTCCACCTCTTACTTTTAAATTGATAACCTCTTATTCTCGGTTTATAACACTATCCAGATAATAATGATATAAATTTTGCGGTCCCCGAGTATATCATAGAGTTATAAGCAAAGTTTACTATTTATGCTTCAGATAAGATAAAATCTCACACAAGTCTGTCGTCTTCAAGTAATCTGATAAAAATCTTGTTGATATTGGTGTTGGAATAATACATTTCATCATATTATGTAAAAGAATTTGACAGTTCACTTGATTGTGAACATATTTTCATTATTTTATCAATTATACATGTTTTGAATAATGACCCCTAAATGGCTGCCAGTTTTGTCAAGAGAGCTAATTATTGTAAAAATCTGAAACTATCTGTTATAGGTGAATTCAAGCATGGCAATGTACAGTAATATAACATACTATGCTGAAAAGTGGCAGAAGATGTCTGTGAATATTAGTGAACAGATTTATATTCTACAGGTAACTAGCCCTATATGTAAATTTTGGAAGTTTTATTTTGTTGCTTTTCCCCTTTTTCGAAAATCTTATACTCACAAAAGCATTTGTTAACTGTTAGCTATATAATGGTGCCCACTAGTTCATCTCAGTGTAAAATGGTGTACTGTTCTTAATATTAGTTGTAAATGGTGCCCAATACTTCATCTCAATCAAAGTGTTCATTTTTACCTGTTAGTTTTAATTGCTCTCAAGGAATCTTTCATTTTCCAGATTAATTTTAGCATTGTTCCTATGGCATTTAATCATAACTTGAAATTAATGTTAAACACAATGCTGGGAAAATATATTTCAGAGTGGAGACCTTGCTGTAATAGACAAGGAGGAAATTTCAACATTAAGTCAAGTATTCTCATTTCTGGACAATATGGCCTGCACTTGGCTAAACCTGGTGAAAGATGTAGATATGAACATCTTCACTAGCTTCAGTACTGAGGATGAACTAGAATATTATTTCTTATACACCAAGATAATGTCACCGTTGTGGCAGGTTTGTTATTCACTTTTTATGTCGCCTTAAAATGCCTAACTGACTACTAATACTGTTAACAAGGCGACACATCCGACTCAAGTTATAATTTCAAATACAAATGTATTTGTGTTTGTGAATGCAGAATGATAATTTCCGCACATTAAATTTGTAAGTCTATCCTTAAAGATGTCAGGGTTTTATTTGTCTAGAGCATAATTCAAAAGCTGTTTGTTGTATCAACTTGAAACTAACTAGATGGATGAACATCTTTTTGTTCCTTGCTTAAGAATAATAAATCTGTTGCATATAATGGGAGTTATGCCCTTGGATATTTATACCCCCAAAAACGAAGTTTGGGGGGGGTATATAGGAGTCACCCGGTGGTTGGTTGGTCGGTCGGTCCAGCGTCCGTTGCATTTTCCTTGTCCGGAGCATAACTTGAAGACTAATGGTTGGAAATTCCAATAAAATTCTTTTTAC